AGAAACCTGCCGCAGGCCAGTTGAATTAGAAACTCTAAGGCAGTAATCTGATTTAATTCTCCAAGTAATTCTGGTGAATCCTGAAGTTTGAAAATCCTGCTTCTAATGCCTTGCAATCTGTAGACCTATGCTTAACCAGGAAAGAGGAGTCAGCAGTGACACCCTGTGGAGCCAAGGAAGGTTTGCACCTTTTCTATTATCATACCTGCTTTTATTTCTCCCTGGCAGGACAAAACCATCCTCTTTGTTCTTTGTACTATAAATACAAAGCTGATTTTGTCCCTTACAAACTATTGGCTTTAGGGTCTTATGCTTATTTTGGTCATGAAGGTTAGGTTAAGTCAGCAAACATGCATTCATCACTATGTGTGAGTTTGTGACAAAGTGTGGAAAATATAAAGCATATCAAATTGGCTCGCAGTGCAATAAGTTTTATTAATAACAGAACCAGCTACCATTTGATTATTAGCTGTGTGATGGACACCATGCTAATTGTTCCCAAAATTTACCTCTGTCCTTATGTACATAAGAGATACATGTTATTCCCATTTTACAAAAAGGAATGTGAGGACTAGTTGTAGTTTATACTCTTAATCACACAGAAGTTTCTCCCCAAAGTGATCCCCAAGGATTACTGCTATTAGAATCACTAAGCATGTATACGTCAAGCGTAGGACCCCAAAGACCCACGAAATCAAATCTCTGGGGGCCGGGGCATGTTCAAGTACTCCAGCCAAATTTTACACAAAATTTCAGAATTACTGTACATTATATTCTCATCAAAATATTACCCTATGGATCTTGACATGAGTTAGTATCAAAGATTTGTGGAGCAGTATGCAAAGATGATCAAGTATTTTAGGGATATCTATGTAATGGAAGTAATAATAGATTTGAAGGGGTTGGTGGTGGTATAGATTTATTTGTAGTGTTATCAGAAAAAAAAGTCACATAGAGATTTCAATGCCAGATGGTCTTCTAGACTCTTTTCCTAAGTGACTTGCTGATTGTATGACATCTCAAATTCTTCTGTCAGGAAAACTCAGTTTTAAGAGTTTCATAGAGTCTGGGTTAGAAATTCTGAACCAATTACCAAAGGAATGACTTAAATAAATTTTAAAAGGGTCAGAATTAGAACCTTGAAATCATCTTTTAAGTTACTTATAGGACAATAGGTTTATATCGAGACAGTGTTACGTGAAATAAATCAGACATATATTTAAATATCACACGGTTTCTCTTATACAAGAAACTCAACGTATTAATAATTTAAAGAGCATAATAAAGAGAATAGGATTCAGGGAGATAGATCTTTAGTGAATGGGAGGGGCACCGAGAGATGGAGGGAAAAGGAGTGAGCAGAAGAGAAGGAAAAGTTAGAAGAATTAGGATGTGTTATGTACATGTACCAATACCCATGGTGAAGATAATCATTATGTACGGCAAGCAGCACAAGTAATAAAAAAAGAAAAACAAAAATAATTTTAAGATACTATCTGGAATATATTTCAGCTCTAAACAGATTGTCTCTAAGTTCTTTCTGAAAAAATTTTTTAATTGTTACTATCACTTTAAAAATTTCAGCTTTTACATTTGAAACCTTAAAATCCATAGCTATTTTAGCATCGGTTATGCAAGTTGTTATGCCCCCTGGTGGCAATATAGATAGAAAGATGAGAAGCATATTTCAATCACAAGGAGAGTGCAGACTTAATTGAAATAGGTGGCAGGGCCTGAATTTGAAATAGAATTTCGTATAAAACTTTTCTGGTCTTACTAAAAATAGGAAACATCCTGTTAAACTAAAATCAGATGTATTAACTTCAGACTGCAAAGTGCATATTTCAATTTCCCTTTCTTTGTCATAAAATGGATTAGCTTTTTGAAATATGTCAGTTGAGCTTGAAATTAAACATTTGTTCTACATATAGCTAAGTAGCTGAACTCATAAAAGATAACTAAAGTCTGCATCTGCACAGTATTTCCTTCACAATCAGGTCTTGGCACATGTCATACTCCTAATGCTATGTGCTTCTTCCGGGTATTAATTTCCCTATGTTAAGAAACTTTAAGAGGTTACTTGGACAAAATAGTCACCTTTTAAGGATGTTCTGAGGAAAAAACCTGTACATTTTACAATTTATACTTCAAAACTTCCAATATAGTTTTAAAGGACTTAAACCAAAGGCCTTTTGAATAGTTTTTTAACTGGGGGCAAAAATAGGTAATGTATCAAGGTACCAATGTGAGAAAATGCATAAAAGGGTTTCCCTTGGAGCTGGGGGTGTAGCGCAGTAGCAGAGCACTTGCCTAGCAAATGCAAGCCCTGAGTACAATCCCAGCATGGCAACAAACAGTAACAACAAAAGATAAGATGATTTCAAAGTCATGGAAGAGAATGATGGCTGGTCCTTAGATAAACATTTAAGTGACTACCAAGTATGTGATACTATTCTAGACTAAAAATACTAAAACAGGTACTTAACCAGCATCAAGAAATGCAAAGTGTACATAGGTAGAAAACACATGTAAAAAGTACAAAGTAATGATAAAATATTTAATGAAAATAATAAAAAGGAAAAAACAGTTGAAAAAAAGGATTACAGCTGACTTTGAGATCCTGAAGAATGAGTATTTTCCAGTTGAACAAAGGAGACATTGTAAACTAAGGGAAAACAAAGGTATACACCACCAAGGGTGAAGTGTATGGAAATTAAGTTGTCCAGTATTGCCTGAGAAGTCATTAAGAGAAAAAGCAAGAGTCTAGATTATGAAGGGTCATGAAATTTATACACACTTACTCTATCCTGCAAATGAAAGATCCCAAGAAAAAAATACTTAGCAATTGCTTGTTAGGTCCAAAAAACATAATAGGCATTTATGTCTTAAGGATGTATGTATAAGAAAAATAACACAGCCCACCAGGTTTACACCTGTGTGATACCTGTACTCTGGGAGTCTGAAAGGGAAGATTGCAAGTTTGAGCCTAGCCTGGGCAACTTAGTGAGATCCTGTCTCAAAATTTAAAAAGGACAAGGGGCTAGGGATGTAGCTAGGTGCAAAGGCCCTGGGTCCAATCCCAGTACTGCATACACAAAACAAAAACAGAAATTGAAATGTTTATATTTTACTCTTAAATAACTAAACACTAATTGGATATCTATGCCTATTGGGCAAACTATATAATTTTTCAACTGTTAGAGAACCTGATTAAACATTGTGACTTTCATTTCCTATTTCATGATTTTCAGATGCTTGTTTATCGTAGAAAATGCCAAAAATCTAGCTTCACCCATGTCACTGAAGCACGGTAGAACAAAACCGTGAGCCAATTTGAAAAGTTCACAATGGTGTCTGACAGTTATCAAGTATTACTATTTCCAGAAATTAAAAATATTTCATGGTTTCTGTGAGTTCACTATGTGAGGACAGTTTGAGAAGCCAAAGGCTTTGGACAGACCACTAACATAGTTTAATTTCTATGTTAGAGTACCATAGTCTCATGTGTATGTATAAGTGTGTTGGAAACTGAAAACCCAGTAAGAATATTACAAGTACCACCAGGTGAGAAATGATGATGTAAACTGAAACACGAGTAAAGGAAACGTGAGATATTTAGGTATGGTCACCTGCAACTTTTGATAATCAAATCCAAATGGATACAAGGGAGTCAGGGGTTAATGGCATAAGAGGGTGGATGAGTGCCTTTTCCAACATGAGCAAAAGTGTAGTCACTGATGCTATTGACCACAATGTTTTTAAATATTTGATCATCATATGTGAATTTAACTTATTTCCCCTTATGAGCCTATGTTTTATCTCATGCATGCAAAACATTATTATGAAAAAGTCCATTAGGCTTCACCAGAATGCCGAAAGGTTAAAAACACCTCTTGGTTATTGGATATGCAAATCTGAAATTCAAAAGAAACATTATAAATGTAATAAAAATGTACATAAATTTGCTAACAGTTATATGAACATTTAATTCCCAACTGACTCCAGTGATATCAATAAAAATTTTCCAAAAGGAGTATAGAGGTTGGGATGTGTCAAGAAAAGCAGCCTAGAAAACAAACATTTATGGGGTAACAGAACGAAGCTCTCTGGGAGAATAAATTTAAAGGAACAAATACTAAATTAAGACAACCAAGAGAGTAGTGTTTCTGAGACAAAGGGGGAAAAAGCATTGGACAGACAAGTAGGATTTAAGGAAGACAAAGATGAATATGCAGCCATGGATCAAAGCCATAGTGCCACGATGGACAGATTCACAAGAATTGCACAGGTTTTCACAAATTTGGTTGTGAAAGAGCGAGCAGTGAATAATGATGGAGATAGGTCCAGGGGGGTTAAAATGTTAGATATGTGATTCAGTCATGTTACACGTGTTACCCAGTCTCACAGGCAGATTTTTCTATGGGATTGAGATTCATGATTAAAGAGAAACAAGGAAGGGTCAAGTATTTATTCCTCCTTGATAACTTATTTTTGCTGCTCCTTTCATTCTGGATCTTCTCCTGTCATGGGAACCTTTAACAAGTTTATTATCTCTGTCAAACACTCATGATGCTAAATATTAATAGGTACTGAGTCTCAACGATTGTCAGGCACTATATTAATAACTTTACATATTTTAACCTATTTTCATCATAAAAAGGGCAATGGCATCAATGAAGACATAGACTACCACACTCAAACTTTCTCTTTTAACTAATTACATTACAAAGTGTGGTATAATGGAAACTCGCCTGACTTCAGTATAGCGCACAGTAAAAGTCAAAGTTTGGTCCAGCTATGAAGATCTTTTGGGGATCTTCATAATTACTTTATAAAGCAGCAGTAAGAATATCTATCTAGAGCTGCTTAAGAATCAGATGAGAGTCAACCACAAAGCTTAGGACACAGCCAAAGCCCAAGATTGCCATAATCCTGCATGTCAATAAGGTAGCAAGAGCCATGATAATAACAGAAAGAAAACATATTAATTCAAAGGCAACTATTTTTATTTTACTCCAAAAGGTACATACAACAAGGGACAGAGACACAAAGAGGTGTGTAAGTGCATAAGGATTTTAACTATAAATTTAAAAGAAGCTACATCTTATAAAACTACTTATAAGAGTTTGTAAGAACAGATTGAAGCAACATTATTTGGTATTTCTGATACTTCCATTAGCTTTAACTTAACTATTCCCTTCCCAAGCAAAAATTAGGAGGATAGCAAGCTATTTACAAGATGACATGTAATTGTGTTGATCAGGCTGACATTCTGAACATCCTCTTCTTCAGTTCAGCAGCTTTCTCGTCTATCCTAGCATAACACTCCTCCACTGCCTTTTCAATGCCTTCGTGGTATTTCTCCACAGCAGTTTTCAAGCTTAGAAATATTTCCTAAATGGAAAATGAAATAGAATAAGAATTATTCCACGTGACAGCCTCGTTTAAAAATGAATTACAAGAATTCCAACAGTTTCAGTCAAATTTATTAACAGTATTTTAAAACTCAAACTCATGCAGACACTCCTGCAAGTATGCTTATTTTTATAAAAAATTCATTCATAAACAGTATGAACACATCAAAAAGCCTGCTACTTAGAGAAAACAAAGCAGAAACGTGACAAGAGCCAGGATTCCAAGAAATTAGGAACAAATACTTCTAATAATCAGGAAGAAATTTTACTATGAATCTTTCCATGTTAAACAAGGAAAATACCTACTTTACTGCAGATAGCTATAAACCTCTGCAACTGATCTTAGTCATTTAAAAGATATGTAAGTACATTTAATAAGTAGGCTACAGGACTAAAAAATATATTAATACTTTCAGAGTCATTTTAATAAGCTGATCAGGTAGTTCTACTATAAGCAATAACACACTTTCATATAAACCTGTATGGATGTGCTAAGAACTTCTTAAAAGCATGTAGCAAATTTTACAGATTGAATAAAATAAGAAACAAATTAGCCTGTATACATTTTCTTTTATTTATCAAATGTAGTATCCTTTTATTATGCATTCTCCTTAGACAAAACAATTCTCAAACCATGATACAATAAATAGAGGCATTACAGAAAGTTACAGAATATATTCATCACTGAAATAAAACAGCAACCCTTTTCCAGTGGGACATGAAAAGTAGTATACTGGTACAATGTTCTCAATTTTATGTGCATCTCCTATTAAATTTGTCCTAAACCTATAGTTTTGCTACTATTTACATCAACTCTAGGGTAGGTATTAACTGATTTTGAATATATTACATAGATAATTCAATTTACTACGAATTTACAGTGTTCCAAAAAAGAACACCATTTCAAGCACCTCTGCCACCTATGAAAGTTTGACAGCTATTATTTGTAACTCAATTAAGCATATATATGTATCTATATATGTGTATGTACATACTAAACTCTCCAGAAATCCAAATGTAGTTATTAAACCCTAATACAGAGATAGAAGAGTGTGTTTACATTTCTAAGATCTAAGCAAGCACCAAATTACTACATCTATGTAGTAGGAAAATAAATCAAAAAATTTTGAAAGCTTTATTTCTTAACTCTTGTAGGAAAAATAAGGTGAATTAGTTGCTAGCTTGTGTGAATGCCACTTAAAAAAAATCAGCACATTCAGCAGCTATAGATCAATTTAAGTTTCTAGTTTTATTGGGGTGTATGTTTATTCATACTCAAAAGAAAGATGAATAAATTTGGTAGAAAGATACTACTTGCAAGAAACTATCAAAACTAAATGTAGCTAAATAAAGACATACAATGTATAGATATATGAACTAATCATTTCAATATACCCAAAGGAGCACTTTTTCTCTTGAGAACAAATATCCTCTCAAGGAGGAGCCAATATCCAGACAGAGCTGTAATAAATGAAGGCAACAGGAAAGCTGAATTCCAGTGACACATCCACAGAAGCAAACAAACATGAAATCCTATGTCAATCCTCACAAAATGTTTAGTGGTCAGAGGACACACCCTTCACAAATGCTATATATAGTTTACAATTAAATTCTATATTTGCATGGAACTTTTTAATGCTAATTACACTAATTCTCACGAAGTCTTATTATGATCATCTCACTCAAGTTAAATATAAATCACTGGTAGAGCATTTTCCTGGCATGAACAAGATCCTGGGTTCTAGCTCCAACTCTTTCTCTCTCTCTCTCTTTCTGTTTGATATGATAATACCTAGTTGTATGTAGCTATTTAAATTTAATAGAATTTAAATCAAATTCAAAATATAGTTCCTCACACAGGTCAAGGGCCCACATGTGCCCAGTGGCTACAGTCAAACAGTAAAGAAAAATATTCTCATTATTGCAGGAATCTCAACTGGCCAGTGTTGGTCTAATTATCTGTTTGCAAATCAGAGAAACTTAAGATTATATAATATCCATGGAATTTACAGCCATTATAACTATTTATCTCACTGGTATGTTCTAATTCATCAAACAAATATATTATTGAGTACTTTCTACAGACAGCACCATAAACAGTATGATAGCATTATGGAAGATGCAATTTATGCTTTCTGTCCTAAAGGTACAACCAGATCACCAGGTCAGACTGGGCAGAACTGATGTGAAAGAGAGAGGAGTGTTTTAATAGATCATAAATTCAACACAGATCAGGGTAAGATGCTGCTGCTAAAAACCTAATCGAATATTAAGCTTCATTAATGGAAGCATTGTGATTTCAAGCTAGTCACACCATCATTTTGGAAACCTGTGTTTAATACTGGGTTCTATTTTTTAAAGGTATAATGACAGGAAAAAAAAACAGGGTAGAAATGAATCTGAAAATTAAGCTATAAAGGATGGCTGGAAAACTGCAACTAAACCTAAATAAGAGAAGACTGACAGACCCATGATTATTATCTTCAAATGTGTGTGGGGCTGTTAAGTAGAAGAGAGTATAGATTTGTTCCAGAGAGAAGATCTAGGTTCACAAGGGGACAGAAATTGAAAATTTCAATTTGAGTAGCCATGAGCTTTGTATCATTAAAGCAGAACCCATCAGTGGTTCTCAAAAGCCATGCTAAAAATAAGATCCAAGGTCCCCATTGCTGCAGATTGTAATTCATTGTATTTGGTTGGAGGGTTATTTATTTAAAACTTCCTCACCGAATTCTAATACACAGCCAGTGACAAGAAAGACTCTGTGATAGATGACCTTTGAATCTCACAAATATTTATGGAAAAGATATTACATGTATGGCATCATTCTAGGCGTGGTTTGACAGGACATGCTAAGATTAACACCACATAATTGCTGAAAAGTTTTTAATATTATGGTGAGACATACACACACAAAACTAACAGTAATGTAAGATAGGCATAGGTCAAATTTGGGTTAATAGTTGGTTACTGTGCATTAATAATGCATTCATTGTAACTAGACCATGTGATAACAAAAAAACTTGTTGATTTGATTTAGTTAAGAAGTAGGATTGAATAGTTCCTAAAGTATTTCTACTCCCCATTCTAGAAATAAACACATAATCCAGTTAAGAAGCAGGAAAAATAATTTGAATACAGCAAAAGAAAAGGAAGGACAGAAAAAAGCAAGACAGGATACTGAGCAGAGTAAGGGAAATCGTAACTCTTTTTTAATTTTCTCTTTTAATTTCTTACTTTTCTTCTTCCAACACTTCCCCTATCCCTGTCTCTCCTACTTTTTAAGATAGTCTTGAGGTAATATTCATTATGTATATACCTAATTACAGGTGGAAGTGCTCACAGTGTAGTCTCAGGGAGATGAGAGTGCTAGAGAATGGGTAAGGGGATCATGACTGTGGCATTTTTTAGCACAGTTCTAGGATCCCTGCATACTTGGTATGGATGAGGGAAGACTGTGACAGGAAAGTGTTTAAATGGCTATCAGATACCAAGGTGTTTCAGAAACCTTGATGCAAAGTGTTAATGTAGGCAAGATGAAGAACAATGTGAAAAAAAGAGGCCAAGAGATTTTGCATGATGAATAGTTACTTTTATTTCTGGTAGAGTAGTTCGGGTAATTGTTCTAACAGAAAAACCTTGAAGATGTAAGTCAAACCTCAAAAGCTGAGGGAGAGTGGAGATGTAATAAATGTGTGAGGACTAGACTCTTTGAGACATTGGCAGTTAAAAGGATAGAGACAGGTAAACATTTTATATTTGGCATTATACTGGCATTTTGAAAGATGTAAAAAGCAAGATGCTTATTTTTACTAAAAAGATCATTTAGAAAGCAATAAAATAAAAATACTGAAAGCAAGCAAAAGGTAAATAAATATAGCAACATGAGATAATTAAAATAAAAATATTAAATGTCTCATAACACAAAGGGACAAATCTAAGTTTTCTTTTTCTTTCCTTTTTTCCAGTTAAAAACTCAAATTCATTTAACATTGGTGCTTGGCAATACTTCTGAGATCCTTTTATCAAGGAAAAAAATGCAGTTTCATTTTAAAGGAATTACTTAAAATCACTATCCAAGTCCATTTACCTAATAAATTCAGAATCTGTATGGAACAACTACTTTTACTACAAAGAATGACATTTACTATATGCTGTCAGGGGAAAAAGACAAGTACGAGAAAAGCAATGGAGGAGATAAATATGCAAACTATACAGGATAACAGAAAAGGTGCTGTAAGTGGAAATAAAAGCACAGGACCTGTGGGAGTCAATCTCTAATACAGAGATTCCAAAAAAAATCTTCACAATGAAGGTGACATGACTTAGCTTTTAAAAGTCATGGTATCAGCTGAAATTAATTTTTCTTTTTTTTTTTTTTTTTTTTTTTGGTACTGGGGATCGAACTCTGGTCCTTGCGCTTGCAAGGCAGGCGGCAAAACCACTGAGCTAAATCCCCGGCCCTGAAATTAATTTCTTACAAATACATACTCACCTGCGACTTCAGTTTCTCCCTTTCAGTGGCATCTTTTAGCTGCTGAATTCCAAATTTAATTTTTTTGATCTCTTGATTAATTGTGGTTACTTTCTCAAAGACAGCACCTCTTTTTTCTTGAACTTTATTGCAATCCCTAAAGGAAAACAGAAAAAGCTAACAAAATTCCTAAGCATCTAAAAAGGTAAACAATTCTAATTTTGATTCCAAAGTGACCTATGTGTCACTGTGTATTGGACAAACCTAAAAACTTTTCTCAAGATTTAAAAGGAAAGGAATGAAAACCCCAAAGTATGGTGCTATAGTGACATCATGGCATACAGTGAGCTCTTTCACTCAAGAGCTTTTCTTTAAAATGGAGATTTTAAAGTTATATTTCCTCAGTTATGCACATTTACGTACTGTAGGTAGGAAGATGAATCAGTACAACATTTTTACAATGTGGTTTGATAACATAAAACCTTTAAGCTTTGCTCTTTTTCTTCATCTGCGTGAGGGTATGCAAAGGAAACAGACAATCTCTGATAACCCTTTCAGGACTGATGGAATGACATCTTAGACAGATCTGTGGCACATATTCTAAAAACACACTTGTAGCACTGAGATGGGAAGTATTCTACCACGGAAATACCCTACAACATACTGGCTAAAAACAAAACAAAGTAAAAGGAAACATAACCTCAATGTTTAGCAAATTATTAATTCTTCAATAAAAAAACAGCACTTTTCCTCCAAACTACTAATTTAAGAGACCAGCTGTGCTCTACGACAGACCAACTGATTCATTCTAGTGTAATTCTGGGCCACTGTCTCTCAGTTGGACTGAAATAAGTAGCAGCATCACAACCCTTTGAAAAATTATAAAAAGAAACTGGAATTATGGTCTAAAAAAGGAAAAAAAAAACTGAGTAAGTAAAATATCCCTAGACCTAGACAGAGAATGATAGCTACCATAACTCATTTATTTTTGTCACCTAAAGGTAGAATGCCTTACTGAGAGAAGAGTACTTTAGAAATCCTGGGGGGAAAAATTATTAACTTTTCCTAATTGCTTTCTAATATACCAAAATTCAAAACGAGTTCATACTCTATTACTGTTCGTTTGTACTGCTTAATGTCCTCATGCTTCTTATTTATTTTGAATTGTGCCGTGGCAAGTTTTTCCTTTTTCACAATCATCAGTCGTTTGAATGAATTTTCTTCAGTCTTCAATTTCTTCAGTTCTGACTCATCACTCTCAATTTGATCCTCCAAGTTCAGGCTCTGTATTTTATGAGAAGTATTTAAAGTCAATATAATTAAAATTATAAACAAGATGCAAGTTTGGGCTATAATAAAATACAATTTTGAAATGGGAATACAAAAAAATCCAGACGCTCAAAGCAGATGACAGAAAGACACTAGGGTTACTGAAAAAACATGAACAAGTTCTACCATGTTTTCTTTCAGTAAGTATTAGAACAGAGGGACATATTAAGATCAGCTAAGAGGCTAGGGTTGATGGGAATAGGGTCTGAACTAAGTAAGAATAAAGAGAACAGATTCAACCCTAGAACAAAAGCAGATCTCACTCTTTGGTGATTCTTGATGGCAGATAAGGAGACTATGTAATGCGGAGAGAATAACTCTGGCAATCTCACCTTCTAATCTCTACTTTTCTCTAAAACATTTATCAAATGTTACTAGTGATGATGAGGATGGTCTGGATTTAATATAATTAAAAGGTGAAAAATGATTTTCAAACTTGTACCCTGAAAAACTCTCATTACCGAAGGCAGAATCTGTCATAAACTTTAAATCTCTTCATGAATCCTAGGTACACTGTTGGGCATTAAATTGAGATTTTATGCTTACTGATTATGTAAGATCATTTCCAACTGTTGAAAGAAGTTTTAATAGAACTTACTATTTTCCAAAATATACATGGCAATGTACTATGTTAGTTATTATTCATTGGATCTGAAGGCTAAAATTGGTTTTGTTATTACTATGTTTAAAAAGAAAAGTGTCTTATTTCTTAGCACACATTGGCTCATCTATTATACTGTAGATTAATCCTGTTTTTCTTTAGAACAATAGTCACAAAAAGTGAAAACAAATCCAAAGAACTATAGTAAGTAATTACATAATAAAGACATAAAAATTCCACACAATACAAACCTCCTTTAAGATACTGGTTAATTTTTCCCTATTATCTGCAAGGTCCTGGATTTTCTTTTGATATAACTGCACCTCCTGCTGACAGGAAGGCAGGCAGTCAACTGAGTCTCTATAGATTTCATACTTCTCCATCACTTCTTGCTTTGAAAGAAAAAAAAAATAGAGATCACAGTTTGATACTTTCCTTTATGAAACGGCAATAATGTCAATTTGTTTGCTCTTAAATAATTTCTGCATTTAAGACTGAAAGCTTAAGAGCAGAGAACAATTAAGTTTCTAGGTCAGTAACAAAGGACTGCTACTGACATGTGTCTACTCACATATAATTATGCTTTTTAATTGCCAGATATCCTCGAACAAAGAAAAACTGCCATAATTTTACTAACTTACTCACCGAAATACTTTCCAAAGGTTATCCACGATGCTATTAAGAGTTCATTCTAATTCTCAAACTACTTCTGATCACTCCTGGACACTCATATTACCCATTTATAATCTTCTTCTTCATTTGTATGACACCTATTACTACAGCTAATTCTTTTAAAAAGATTAATTCTTCTGAAATCACAAAATGAACATATATTTACTACAACTCTGCAATAGTACAAAGACTTCTCCCTTTGTCCGCACTAGCCCACTCCTTGCCCTCTCTAATTAACCAGTTGGATTGTTCCTCAGTGAAGGGCCTAATGCTATTATTGCTCACTTTTGTTGCATTTTTCTTAATTTTTAAACACTTTTTGCATAAAATGGATATAATCCCTTTACCTGTCATATGTACGATGAATTCTGTACATTCTAATATGTGTACTTTCCTCTGTAGTTTGTGGGTTTCCAAACTTACTTTTAAAAATCTTTCACAGTTCAAGATTGTATAAATGTTCTTCTAAAATTCTTAAATTTAAATTTCCAATCAATGTAAGAATTTATTTGTGTAAATGGTGCAAGGTATAGAACCAATTTTTCTCGATGAATAGCTAATTTAACTAGAACTGCTTTGAAATAAACTGTTCATTCCCCATATATACTCAAAACTATTTCTGGGCTCTCATTTCTGTCCTGGTGAATTTTGTCATCACTGCCGTCACCTTCTTTTTTTCCTTCTTGTTCCAGGACTGGAGACTGAACCCAGGACCTCACCAATGAAAGGAAAGCAATCTACCATGGAGCTACATCTCCAGCCCTTTTTCTTTTATTGAAACACAGTCCTACTAAGTTGCCCCATCTGTCCTGGAATTTGTGATCATCCTGTCTCAGCTTTCTGAGAGGCTGGGATTACAACCTTGTGCCACTACGTCTGGCGATTTTTGTGTGTTCTTATGTGATAATTTTAATTACCAAGAAAGACCTACATAACAAACTCAGGTGTAAATTAGAAAAATTGTTTAAAAGTTTAAAAACACTGCCTCAAAAAGAATGTTAAATTGTCTACCACATTTAATTTTGTCCCATTTTCCTCAAATTACCTCCCACAGTAACTCATGACTTTGAGTGTATCTTCCTCCCTCCAGTCTTACAGAATTGATGTATGCTGTGTATTTTGTCTTAAATTTTCTTCATGTGTGATTTATTGGGATATCTTGCTCATTTTTCAAATGTTAGCACAAATTTTCACTTTCTTTCCTCTTTCATCAGATTCTTCCAATACTAAATTAGACTTTCCCATTACATTATTTCAAAGCACTCTACACGTCTCCCTGTCTTTTTGGAGCTACTTTTTAAGCTAGATTTTAATTTCTAAAGCACAGCAAAATTGATCAGAAGGTAAACAGATTTCTCATATGCCACCTGCTTCCAAAATCTATGCACATCATATTCTCTTTCATAATACATATTGTGATTATTTATAAAATTGTTTAATATCTTTATTTCTTTTAATGAAGTAACTCAATCTCATGAAGGCAAAGCAGTTCTGCTTTTGGCACTAAAAGCAAAGCCCCCAAACTCTAACATAATTGAACAAATTTCTTGAAATTATAATTTTTTATCCCATATACTAAAGAAGAGCTATAAATTAGATAAGATCAAAAAATAAGTGAAGGGAAAGAGAAATATAGATAATCTAGAAGTCAGAAAATTACCAAATGACTAAACAAGAATTTGCTAAAAAGAAAAGAGATAGAAAAGCATTAAAATAAAAAGGAAACTCACCCTGGAATTTTTAAGCTTCTGCACGGTGTCTTTCATTTTTTCTTTATAATTCTTTACCTTCTCTGGAGAATCCACAATTTTTGTCTTTAAACTCTCTTGTACTTCTTTCAAAGTAACCACTGACAATTTTAGTTCATTCTGTTGAAAAACATTTTTACATAATAGATAAGATAATAAAATGACTTAGCATTTCAGTAACAGAAAAGAACAAAAACTTAAGTTCATGTTTGCAGGAAGTGGGTGGAGGGAGAGGTACGAAACTCTGACCTCATCACACACATCTTTCTACAAGCCAAAGGTTAAGATTCTGAGCCTGACATTCAAGGCCTTAAGTGATTACAGTATTTCTGTTCTCAGTATATCATCCTAGAATATCACATCGTCCTAGTCCTGCCTGCAAGCTGAACTTCTAGGGAATCCCTGAAAATCCCACTTGTTTCCTCTACATTCTTTCCTTCCATTAATAATACAATTATTGTACATGCAATAATATAATTATACATTCAATGTGTTTCCAAATGAATTGAACTACCTGGAGTTGTAAAGTTCCCCTTGTTCTCTGAGTACCAAAGCAAAGTAATAGCACTGTGGTGGACTGATTAATGGTCAACTTGTAAAGCCCAGCTGAACTGAATCAGCATGGTGTGTGCATGGAGGATCCACCCGAGGATTGTTACCAATAGCCATAAAAAGAGAACTGGAGGGGAAGATCTTGGCTTGTTGATTTGCAGGAGAAGCTTGCTGCGGATGGTTTTCCTGATGCAAACTAGAATGTTCTCATCGGAGGAGGAGCTTGGAGCCTTGCTGTTGCTGGGAATGGCTGCTATTTTCATCAGGGGAGCTCTGATCTTCACCGTGAGCATCACTTCCTGGCTCCAATGTGGATGCCTCAGCTTGGTGGCAGAAATCCTTCATCTCACTGGCACAGATTTTCTGGCTTCCACCCCTGGCCTTTGGGCCTTCTGGGTGCAGATCCTCAATATGGACAAGTATGAGACATTACTGTGGGCTCTAGACCACTGGCTGGACTCAAGGAGGACATTGCCTTGGACTCTAGGCCTTTAGCTGGACTTGTGTGGGAAACTGCTGAGATTTAGACCCTCAGTTGAGTACTTTGGGCTTCTAGTGTGCAGTTAATTTCATGCACTCCTTTGCATTTGACTCTTTGTGTAATTATCATAAAATAACCTTATAAGTTATGTGTTCTGTTTTTAATGTATTCCCTTGCCAAATCCTTCTGACTACAACAAGCACTAAGAAGGTGCTCGATACTTGCTTGCTGAATCAAAACAGATTTCTTTGTTCTTCTGAATTTCAAAAGTGAATGAAACCTACTAGATGAAAACAGGGCAAACACTTGAAGACATTATAATGGAAAAGGACTTTTTTGGACATGACTTAAAAAGCACAGGAAATAAAAGCGGAAATAAGTCAAAAGACTGGGAGAAAATATATGCAAACCATACATCTGACAAGGGGTTAATATCCAGAATACAGAAGGATCTCCAAAATCTTAATGGAAAAAAAAACCCAAATAAAAAAATGGGCAAAAGCACCTAAACCAACATTTCTCAAAAGACATAAAAATGGCCAATAGGTACATATGAAAAAAATGCTAAACATCACCAATCCTCAGGAAAATGCAAACAAAAATCACAATGACATACCACCTCACTCCAGTAAGAAAACCAATTACCAGAAAGAGAAAAGATAAATGCAAGGGAGAATGTGGAGAAAAGGGAACGATTGCACATTGTTGTTGAATGTAAAGTGGTATAGCCATTATTGACAACAATATGGATGTTTCTCAAAAAATTAAAAATAAGATTGCCATATGATCCAGCAGTCTGACTATGGGGTACATATTCAAAAGATATACAATTAGAATTCTGAAAAGGCATCTCAATGCTCAAGTTTATTGCAACTTTATGCACAAGAGCCAAGAAATGGAAATAATCTAAGTGGCCATCAACTGTTGAATGGCTAAGAAAATGGAACATATATATAACAGAATACTATTTAGCAATAAAAAAGAATGAAATCCTGTCATTTGTGAAAACATGGATAGAAATAAAGATTAATATGCTAAATGAAATAAGCTAGGCCTAGAAAGAAAAATATTGGATGATCTAACTCATGTGGAATATAAATAGTTAATCTCACAGAGTTTGAGAGTAGAATGGTGGCCACCAGAGGCTGAGGAGAGAAGGGGAAAGACAAACAGAAAAGGCTAATCATTGTATACTAAATTATGGTTAGGACCAAGGTCTGGTGTGCTACTGCACAGTAGGCTAACCATATATAACAGTTATGTACTATATATTTCAAAAAGTTAGGAGGTTCCTGTATACTCACCATAAACAAATGATAAATGTTTTAGATAGATAGCTCTAACCTGATTTATACAATGTACAATGTATGTTTGTATCAAAACACTACATAGTACCCCAGTAAAATGTACAATTTTTATGTTTATGTATCGGTTAATAAAGTTAAAAAAAGAAGCTAAGTGCAGTAGAGCACATCTCTAGTCCCAGCTATTCAAGAGGCAGAGGCACAATGACTGATTGAGTCCAAGAGTTGAAGGCTAACCTGAACAACACAGCAAGATCTTGTATCTTCAAAAAAAAAAAAAAAAAATAATTTTAGGGAAGTAGAGCACATCTCTAGTCCCAGCTATTCAAGAGGCAGAGGCACAATGACTGATTGAGTCCAAGAGTTGAAGGCTAACCTGAACAACACAGCAAGATCTTGTATCTTCAAAAAAAAAAAAAAAAAAGTAATTTTAGGGAATTAAAAGTAAGAGTAGTTTTTTTTGTCATGCTCCATAGTGGCTAACTGGAACCTCTAGCAACAACAAGGTTAGGGACAGCAGTGGTGCTGAAAGTAGTGGGTGGAACAGCACCCCTCCTGTCCTGCAACCAGCAGATGCAAGAAAGGGATGCTGATGTCTGGGATTTAAGCAGCCTCAGGCAGAGGCAGGACCAGGAGTGGAAAGTCAGCACCCTTTCCCTCCCAGAGATTGAAGCAGGAAGAGGAGCCTTGGGCTGACTCTGCAGCATTGGTATCTGTGACAATGTTGCTCAGAGCACTCCACCTGAACTGAGACAAGGCTTGAGAAATCAAATCGAATCAAAATAAAAAATAGAAAATGACAAGACACGGAAGAAAAATGGAACACTAGAATTCCAGCTCACCCAGGACAAGTTCATGGGACAAGGAGATAGAGGAAAATAGAAGCCCCCTACCTGAATTTTCTGAAATGATAGCAGCAGAAGTAAACAAACAGATGCATGAGGCTATAGAAAAAATTAAATCAGAAATAATTTCCCAGGTAAAAGGAGATGACGATCAAAATGAAGGACTTGCTCAGTAAATATAGACACAGATAAAAAAATAGAGGAGCTTAGGAAAATGATAGGAACCATGAATGCCCAACACAGGAAAGAAATGTAATCCATGAAACAAATTCAAACAGATATCAAGGAGATTAAAAATTCCATTGAAAGTATATGCAACCCTTTGAACCAAGGTGAGGACAAAATGTCAGATCTAGAAGACAGGATTGCAGATAATGACCATGAAAAGAGTTTTTAAAAATAGCAAGGCACCATGAAAAATCAATCTAACAGCTGCAAGATGAAGCAAAGAAGAACTAAAGATTGGTTGGAGTCAATGAGAAAGCAGGGGATAGTGCAAACTCCATAAAATACCTGTTCACAGAAGTCATGGCAGAACACTTCCCCAAAATGGAAAAAGAATTTGACATACAATAAGTGAGACATATAGAATTCCAATTAGCCATGACCAAAATAAATCTACACTAAGGTAAATAAAGATTCCAGAAATTCAGCACAAGAATAGAATATTAAAAGCTGTGAGAGAAAAGAAACAAATCATACATAAAAGAAAGCACGTCAGAATCACAGCAGACTTCTCAACACAAACCCTAAAGTCAAGAGCTTGCAGTGAATTATTTCAAATCCTGAAAGAAAACACATTCAACTCAGATTGATGTATTCCGCAAAACTCTCAAGAGCAATGGAGAAATAAGAGATCTCCATCACAAAGAACAACTGAAGAAATTCATGTTCAAATTCTATAAAATGCTCTAAAGGATATTTTAGAAAGAAATGACAAAGACCAAAATTCCATCAATAGAAAGAAGCTACCAGGCAAAACAAGCAATTACGGAGGGAAAAGATAGGGAACCAACAACAGGAAAATAGTATGACAAGGATAAGCCAATATATATACATCAATTATAACTATTAATGTAAATGGTCTCAATTCACCAATCAAAAAAAAAAAGACTAGCAGAATGGATCAAGAAACAATATGCTGCAAAAATCACACTTCAAAAGAAATTCATAGACCGAAAGTGAAAGGATGGAAAACAATACTCCATGTGACAGGAACCCAGAAAAAAGCAGGGATAGCTGTCCTATTTACAGACAATGCAAACTTCAAGCCAAGACTGATCAAAAGAGAAAAAGAGGGTCACTACATATTTGTTAAAGGAAAACCCCGTGAGGAAAAGATAACAATCATAAATATATATGCACCAAATATTGGCACACCCAATTATATAAAAGAAATATTAACAAACATGAAAAATCAAATAAGCACTAACACAATTGTGTGTGTTGTATTTTTTGGTACCAGGGATCGAACTCAGGACCTTCTGCTTGCGAGGCAGGCGCTGGAACCACTGAGCTAAATCCCCGGCCCAAGCACTAACACAATTGTAATGGGGGACCTTAATAACCCACTGTCACAAATAGATCAACTAGACAAAAAAATCAACAAATAACAGAACTGAACCAAATCTGTGAACAAACAGACTTAGTAGAAGTCTACAGATTGTTCCATTCTACAACATCAGAGTACACATTCTTCTCAGCTGCCCATGGGAGGTTCTCCAAAACAGACAACATACTAGCTCATTGAACATGCTTAAGTAAATGCAAAGGAACTGAAATTATCCTACGCATATTATCAGACCACAGTGCAGTGAAATTGGAAATCAATGGCAAAAGAAACCACAAGAACTTTGTAAACACATGGAAATTAAACAGCACTCTCCTGCACAACCAATGGGTCACAGATGAAATTAAAGAAGAAATTAAACAATATCTAAATTAAATGACAATGCTGATACAACATACCAGAACTTATGGGATGCAATGTAAGCAGTCCTATGAGGACAATTTTTAGTGGTGAACATTAGGAAAAGAGTGAGCTCAAATAAACAACTTAATGTTGAACCTCAAATTCCTAGAAAAAGAACAAGTCAAGCCCAAAGCTTGTAAAAGGGAGGAAATTATAAAGATCAGAGCAGAAATTAATGCAATGGAATCTAAGAAAACAATGTAAAGAACCAATGAATTGAAGAGTTGGTTCTTTGAAAGATTAAATAAAATTGATAAACCCTTAGCTAACCTTTTCAAAAAAAGGAAAGACAAGACTCAAATCCATGCAATTAGGAAGGAAAAGGGTGAAATCACAACAGATCCTGCAGAAATCCAGAAGATCAACAATACTCACTTAAGAGAAACTTTATTCTAATAAGATGGAAAACAGAGAAGAAATAGACAGATTCCTAGATACATATGAATTACCAAAGCTGAATCAAAAAGATATAAAAATTCTAAATAATCCAATATCAGTCAATGAAATTGAATATATAATTAAAATTTACCAACAAAGAAAAGTCCAAGCCCTGATGGATTCACTGCTGAATTTTACAGGACATTTAGAGAAGATCTAATGACATTACTCCTCAAACTCTTTAATGAAAATGAAAGGGAAACAATACTCCCAAAGTCATTCCTGAAAGCAAGTATTACCCTGATACCAAAACCAGAGAAGGATCTAATCAAAAAAGAGAACTTGAGGCCAATCTCCCTAATGAATATAGAAGCAAAAGTCCTCAATAAGATACTGCCAAACAGAATGCAGCAAATTATCAAGAAGATTATACACCATGAACAAGTAGCATTCAACCCAGGGATGCAGGGATGATTCAACAAATGTAAATCAATACATGTAATACACCATATTAACAGAGACAAGGACAAAAATCCCATGGTCATCTCAATAGATGCAGAAAAAGCATTTGACAAAGTCCAACATCCATTCATGATAAAAAACCAGAAAATTAGAATAGATGGCCCTTATCTCAAACTGATAAAAGCCATGTCAAACAACAGTCAACATCATACTAAATGGACAAAAACTGAAAGCTTTCACTCTAAAACTAGGAATAAGATAAGGATGTCCACTATCATCACTCCTATTCCATATAGTTCTAGAAACATTAGGGGAAGCAATTAGACAAGAGAAAGAAATAAGAACAATAGATAGGAAAGGAAGTTAAACTATCATTGTTTACGGATGACATGATACTCTACATAGAAATCCCAAAAACTCCACCAAAAGACTTCTAGATTTAATAATCAAATTCAGTCATGTAGCTAGATACAAAGGCAACACTCAAAAATGAATAGCCTTCCTGTACACAAATAACAAACTTACTGAGAGAGAAATTAGGGAAACCATGCCTTTCACAATAACATTGAAAAAATGAAATACTTAGGAATCAGCCTAACAAAGGAAGTGAAAGATCTTTACATTGAAAACTACACTACTCTGAAAAAGGAGACTGAAGAAGATATCAGAAAATAGAAAGATATCCCTTGCTCATGGGTAGGAAGAACCAACATAGTAAAAATGGCCATATTCCCCGAATTGTTATACAGATTTAATGCAATCCCAATCAAAATACCAATAGCATATCTCACAGAACTACAGAAAACATTCCTAAAATTCATTTGGAACCAGAAGAGACCTAGAAAAGCAAAAACAATTCCAGGCAACAAAGCCAAAGCAGAGAGAGAGCAACACAATCCCTTACTTAAAATTATACTACAGAGCTACTGTGATAAAAACTGTGTGATACTGGCAAAAATGCAGACCTGAGGATTAATGGAACAGATTAGAATATGCAGAAACAACTCCAAACATACTCAGCCACCTTAGCTTTGACAAAGAGGCCAAACTCCTTCACTGGAGGAATGACTGCCTCTTCAATAAATGGTGCTGGAAAAACTGGCTTTCCATATGCCCAAGACTAAAATTCAACACATATCTCTCACTGTGCACTAAACTAAAATCGAAATGATCAAAAATCTAAATATTAAAACAGAAACACTAAATCTGGTGAAAGAGAGAATAGGTAGAACACTTGAAGACACAGGTGTAGGCAAAGACTTTATGAACAAAACCCCAATCCCAAGGGAAATATTACAAAGAATCAACAACTGGGATCTCATCTTATTAAAAAGCATATGCACAGCAAAAGAAATCATCAAAGAATGAAAAGACAACCAAGAGTGGGAAAAAATTACCAGCTGCTACTCAGGCAAAAGACTAACATGTAGAATATATCAAGAACGAAAAAAAATCAAATCATCCAAATTTAATGGGCACCTGAGATGAATACACACTTTTCAGATGAAGAAGTACAAATGGCAAATAAATATATGAAAAATGTTTAACATCACTGGTCATTTGAGATGCAAATTAAAACAACACTAACATTCCATTTCACTCTAAAAAGAATGGCTATTATCAAGAAATCAATCAATAACAAATGCTGGTGGGTATGTGGGGATGTGATCATTATGCATATCTAAATTGTACCAATAAACTTAATTAATTTAAAAAAACTGAGAGCAATCAGAAATCCTCTTTAAATCTTGCTGCAAGTTTGAAATCACATTTTAAAAATTCATGTTTCCTTCCCAAATACTTGTTGATATATTATGTTTACACTGTTTTTGAACACTATCATTCTATAAACTAACATGGAAGATTTCTTGGAAATATTAAGTAAAATAATCAATTCACAGACCAACATACATTGCAAATACATCTGTATAAAAACAACAAATATATTTTTACAAAATACATCAAAACAGTGTCACACAATTATGTGAATTGTACATGTGCACAAAATGTTACAGAAAAAGGAGAAGAATGTCACTTTGAGGTGAAGTGGCTGAGACAGGAAGCCTTTTATATATATTTGATGGCTCTCTATACCTCTCTTTGCATGTGATTATTGCATGGCTGGTATAATTTATCTAAACTTTTTAACTTACCAAAAAAAGGGGATTCCTTACCTTCTGATCAGTTAACTTAGGTAAAAACTAAATGTTTGAAATAAGGCATTTCTGTTGTTTCTCTGTAGTCTCTTACTTTATTCTTAGAATTCAGCAAACTATATTACCTACTCTCTTTTAATATTCTACAAAATTAGGGGTCATTTTCCATATAGTAGTACAGACTTTCATATTTCTTTTATAAAAAGCTTAAATTTGATATTAATCATTTTTAAAACCCAGTTTTCAACAGAACAGAAAGAAGTGAATAATAAAACTGATCCATAGTGAGTACTATTCAGATGAAAGCATTTGCCAGTAAAAGGAATGAAAGAAAAATTAGGGATCACTAATTCCTAAGTAAATTTCAGATAGATACAAAGGAATATTTTAAAATTATAGGGAAATGAGCACAATACAAAAATAAATAATCTCATCAACAGGACAGGTCTTTCTCTGCATAAGACTAAACTCAAAACCCATAAAGACTGTATCTATAAATTTTAATACATAAAATATAAACATCTATTTATGAATTTGAAAGGCAAATGGAGGGCTAATATCCCTAGCCCATAGAATTTCTTTAAAAATAAATATAATAAAGAAGATACACAAACAGCTCACAAAATAAGAAATAACAAATCACCAAGATGGTAAAATTCACCAGAATTCAAGGAATCAAATTAAAATGAGGTGCTCTTTCTTTTTTTCCTATAAAAGTAACAAAGATTTAACACAAATCTAAAAACATTTCATTTTAGCAAGGATGTCACAAATAGGCCATGCTCATAATCTATTGGTAGAATGCAAATTGGCATTTTTCTCAAAGTTAGTTTGGCAACATGATTCAATTTTACATGTTTTTTTCTTTTGATCTCATAATCTTAAATTTAGAAATTTATTATATGATAAAAGGGAGAACTGATGAATAGAGGTATATATAGCATATACATATATAAATAAATAGATATTAAAATAGAAAAAATTAAAATTATATTCATGTGTATGTATATATTAACAAATCTGTATGTATACATTTATTAAAATAGCAAAGAATTAAAAGTAATACAAAAGTCAATAGGGGACCAAAAGGATCTACGTTATAGTACATACATATATACAGACATCCAATGCCTCAACATGTATGCCCACAAAGATCTATTTGAAACTCATGATAACTATTTATGGTGATGCTGCTATGTCAGAGTTGAGACATACTGAGTATAATATCAGTTACATAAAATTACACAAATATATGTATATTAAAGAAGTAATCTATGATATAGTCTGCCAAAAAAATGTAGGCACACTCTAGGAAAAGAAAAACTTGTATAAATAGTTTAATAGTAAATTTACTGAGATATCATGAAAATCTTAATGTGCATGTGGACAACACAAAGCAGTCAATTTAGCAGGAGTGTATTAAACTATTTATACAAGTTTTTCTTTTCCTGAAGTGTATATACATTTTTTTGCCGGACTCCATACATATCAGATTGTAGGGTTAGAAAACTTTTATTTTCTCTATACATTTCTGTGTTTTGATGTTTTTAAAAACTGATATATTTAAACTGAAAAAAATTAAGACAGCTTGATTTTGAAGGAAAAAAGATTTGACTATCTTAACACACAGCTAAAATATTCCTCCACATAGTACAGTTCAACTTTAAATGATAATTAATGGAAATGATGCTTACCAAACGCTTAGTTTTCTCTGAAATATCTGATTTCTTTTGGGAATTTCCTTCTTGCAGAACTATCTAAAGAAAAAGTAAACAAATGTTTTATAATGATTCAAAACTGAATCATGCACTGCTTTCTCATAAAATAAAGGTAAGAAAGAAGAGTTAATTGAGTTAGACCAGATAATCTCAAACTGTTCATGATGCCCCAGGCCATAATATATAAGCATTCTTTTATTAAGTAGTTAAATCCAAACAATTGCATAATTCTGCCCTAATAATGCTACAACCCTTTGATAAAATAACATATATAAAAATGAAAGAAGGAAGTTTTAGTGAATTGTTAAACAATCACAACTGTTACTAATTAGATGTGTACCTATTGGGTGTTGCATACATTTACATACCTTGTAATCAGATACGACACAGAAATTCTCATTTCGTCTTATGATTTTCACATAGTACTTCCTTTTTACCATGGCAAATGCCAAGACCACAGCTTCAAAAAGATACAAAGGCAAAGTATAATGATCTAATACTAAAGTTGTGAACTACCTTGAGTTAATGGTTCAGGAAGTACGTATACAAGAGAAGCTGAGACTATTATTTCCTTGAATTTTAAAATATCATGAGGCACCTTTGAAGGTTTGTTGCAGCATCTATGTTAAAATAGAGCAGAGAACCCTAAAAAGTTCTATTCATTCAGACTGCACATTAACTTTGGCAACAAAAACCAACCATCATGATTCTATATGGTTGAGAGAAGATGTATTCAATAGAGAAGATACATTCATATAAGGGCATAAATAGGTATAATTTTATTTTTAATTAAACATATATGCTCTTATGCCCATTACATGCCCCTATATAGTTGTGACATTATTTTAAATTCTAAAATATTTTATGACAGACACCGTTTTTTGACGAAACTCCTGATTCAATGATTGCTGCAGCTCCTGAATATCATCTGTAAGTTGCTTGAATTCTTCTTGCTCTTCAACGGGAACAGAGCTAAACAAAGTAAAATCAATTAACATTTATCTTATTCTTAACCTTGAAAGACCAAAATAAAATCTCTGCCATCAAGTAACTTTGATGACCATCTACTTTCTCATTTCTAAATTATATACCTTGGTATGAAGGCCATTTAAAGTGGACAACCAGGCCTCTACTAAGACAATAAAATTGAGTCGAGCTCCTTCAATTTTCTTTTTTCATTAACAAATTTTATTTTATCCCATTTCCCCCTGAAGCTCCCTCCCCTCCCATGTACAAGCTTTCTTTCCATTTTTTCCTCCTATTTTCACTTTTTTTCTTGTCCCTTCCTTCCTTTCTCCCTCCCTCCTCCCCTATTCCCCTTCCCATTTGAACACTTTCTTTCCATTTCCCAACATCCATTATAAACCTCAGCCTTTATTTCCACATTCAGTTTTTCACACCAAAGAAACAATCTGGTATTTAAACATGTGCGTCCGATTTATTTCATGTAAGAGTATGGTCTCAAGGTCCAACCATTTATTGATAAATGTCAAAGGTCATCCTTCTTTATGGCAGAGTAGTACTCCATTGTATATAAAAACCACATCTTCTTTATTCACTCGTCAGTTGATGGGCATTTGGGCTGTTTCTAAGATTTAGCTATTACAAACTGTGCTGCTATAAACACGGGTGTGCAGTGTGCATATATTGCTATGGTATGGTTTTAATTCTTTCAGGAAGATACCAAGAAGAGGTATTACTGGGTCAAATGTAACCTCTAGTTTTAGTTTTTTGAGAAATCTCCACACTGATTTCCACAGTGGTTGCACCAGTTTACACTTCTCCTAGCAGTGCAGAAGGGTTACTCTGCCCACAGCCCCTCCAGCTCCAGCATTTGTTATTGGTTGATTTTTTGATAGCAGCCATTCTTTCTGGGGTGAGATGGAATCTCAGCATTGTTTTAATTTGCATCTCTCAAATGACCAATGATGTCAAACATTTTTTCATATATTTATTTGTTGTTTCTCATTATCAGAGAAGTGTCTTTTTATTTCAGATGCCCACTTTTGGATTGGGTCTTTAAATTTGGGGGGTCTTATTTTTTGAGTTCTTTGTATGTTCTAGATAATAGTCCTTTATCTGAATAGCTGGTACAATTTTTTTCCCACACTGTGGGTTGTCTTTTCACCCTGTTGGTGGTTTCTCTTGCTGTGCAAAACCTTTTAAATACAGGTCCCAGTTGTTGATTCTCTGTAGTATTTCCCGTGCAGTCTGGGTTTTGTTCATGAAGTCTTTGCCTACTCTGATGTAATCAAGTGTTCCACGTATTCTCTTTTCCAGCAGATTTAGTGTTTCTGTTTTAATATTTAGATCTTTAAACCATTTCAATTTTAGGTTAGTGCACTGTGAAAGATATGGGTCTAATTTCAATCTTTGGCATGTGGAAAGCCAGTTTATCCAGCACCATTTATTAAAGAGGCTATCTTTTACCCAATGAAGGTGTTTGGCTCCTTAATTGCCAACCATCAAATCTATGTATTCAGCCCTGTACATCCCTACCCTATCTAACTTCATTTTGAAGAAAATGAAAATATCATTACTTCTCCTGTTTAATGTTAATTTCCCTGGTTCTCAGCTGTTACTAATGTATCATCTAGACTTCTGTTTTACTGGTCCTTCTTAAAGGCACATACATGTTTAATATGAATTTCTTTCATATGAATGCTCTAACTTTAGTGTTTGCCTATCTGATACATTAGCCGTCTGTTTTTATTGTTTTGTAAATTCTACTTTTAGTCTTTGCCCATATTTCTAATAAGTTACCTCTTTTCCTCTTAGATTGTAGGAATTCTTTGTATACCAGGAATAGTACATGAGTTTTATTATTAAGATTTGGCAATATATTATACCATATATGCTGCAAATATGTATCTCCTAGCTTGTCACTTTTGACCTGGTTTATAATAGTATCTTTTACTATGATAAGACTCATCCCCAGTCTTTTCAGCTTTTTGTTGACTGCAAAAGCAATTTTTATCAGAGACAGGTCAGAGAAGCTCTCACCTGCAAGAAACAGCCTCAAAGACATCAACAAATCCTTCTGATCAAAAATTAGTAGTGATGATCTTCAATTTAAGATGGTTCTACTTAATGATTTTTCAACTTTACAGTAATACAAGAACAACAGGGATTCAGTAGAAACTGTACTTCAAATTTTGAATTTTGATCTTTTCTTAGGCTAGCAACAGGTGGCAACACTGGGCATCCAGCTTAGCTCCAAATAAGCCAGGTGATCATGAAGATAAACAACTTTTCTCCACAGTACAGTGTGTGGCTAAGCTATGTTGTTCAGCAGGTTAGATGTATTAAATGTTCTCAACTGAACAATACTTTCAACTTAGGATGGATTCACCAGGACACAACTCCATTGTACCTTAAGGAGCTTCCACATATTTAAGGAAGGCCAAGAAATCATAACACTTGAATGATTCTGTCCCTTATGTAACCTCTGAGTCCAAAAGAAAATACTGTTGGGAAGAGTAAAAATTGTTAACAAGAGTAACTGATCTGAAGTGAAGGAACAAAGAATCCAGAGAGTTGTTGCTCATCCAGATAAGATAAATACTTCAGATATAATTTAGGCAACTAAGTTAATGACTTCAAACAAATCAGGTTAACAAAGTAAAGAGAATGAAGCCAAAGATCATATAATTAAGAGATAGATTATGAAAAACTTGTTTTTTCCTTTTAGAAAAGACAAACAGATATTCTGCCATGTATTAAGGAAAATTAAGAGACAAAGTGGACTGCAGGGTTATAATATATTGCTAACATTTCACTCAGCATTTTGAAATTGCATTTATTTGTAAATCCCCCACTTACTCAAGTCTCTCCAATTTCATTAATGCCTCCTGGTGTGCAGTGTTTAGCTGCTGCATTTTGTCCACAGAGGATTTCTATTAAAGCAATTTTAATAATCACATATTAGCACTTTTCAACATGAACAGGGATGAATTTGTTTCACAAATAGCACAGACCACAAAATGTTTATTCATTCTATAATTTTCATCATCAGAAGTAAGAAATTTAAGTAGAGGTGACATTTGAATTAAGAATTTCTTTACTTAATACAAATGTTGAGCCCTTAACTTACAGTCACTCTACTAGGTGTTGGGAATTTCCAAAAGGACCAACTTACAGTTTCAGAACTTCAGTAGTTCTGTCTCTTTGAACAGTGAGGTATGAATAGAGTCACTAGCCAAACAAAACTGTGTATGTATGTGTATTTAGCACATGTATGTGTAACCTGTACAAAAGAGTTTGTGATGCTTATGAGGTATGAACTTAACATGATTTGTGTAAAAAAGGACTTAATGGATCTCAGTGCAGCTACAGCTTGAGGTCTGTCTGCTATTACTCTAGTGGCTTCTAAGAGTACAATATGCAAAAACAAGGACAACTGGAAACAAATCATACAAATGACCCATATTCTTCCCAAATTCTCTAAATTGCTGAAGGAAGAAAAGTGAGTTTCTATCTGTTAAAGTGATCGCCTTGCACTGAATCATATAATGTAATACTGGGCAAAAATGACAAAACAAACAGTCTGATTAGGCCATTAATTAAAAGGCAAATATAAATAATATCTCAGTTATTTAAAGAACACTACACTATGCAACCCTCAGAGAAAAAAATGTAAATATTGGTATCAATGTTTCTCTTCTCTAACATTTCCTAATACAGAAAAAGAAGCTTCAGCTATAAGATTAAAACAAAAACCCAGTCCCTCACTGATACCAAGAAAATATCCTTTTGAAATACAGTGGTTCACAAACTTAATTCTTTCCACGCTTCTGGTCGCAAACCGAGTTGAACAAGAACTGAATCAAATTCAATGGTTAGGTTCAATGTTGACCTTATGGGGAAATTTGATTTGGTTCTTGCCCAATTCAGTTTGCAACCAGAATTGTGGAAAGAATTAAGTTCGTGAACCAAGGCACTACTGTATGGTTTCTAATGACCACAATCTGAAACTTCATATGACTATAAAAACAAATTCAATTATAAGGGCCATGCAGTAATATAATAGCTTATAAAATGATGCTAATGACTTGATGTGTGACCCATATACATATTTAAATCTTACATATTGCCAAAGAAATTCCATATATGTCTCACGGCATGCTTCTCTGAAGTGAATAAAGTTAATAATTCCACTTAAAAATCGACTTGTCCGTTTTGCTTCTAAAATAGAAAGCAAGACTGAATTAAATCTTGAAACAAGGTAACATAAAAATAAGAAACCATCTTTTCCCATCATATTACTCTGTTCATGTTATATAAAACTCTATACACTGTAACAGAGTACACAATATCTGTTTTAACTTAAAGATCAACATTATCTTTATATTAATAACAAACAAAAATAGACAACTTTTGGGCACAATAGCAGGGACTAAATTGACTCTCTCATCTTAAACATCTAAAAAAACAGTCAAAATGTGTGAAGCAAGAAACTTTCAACACTAGACCACAGTCAATATGACAACAATCCCCAAAAGAATCAAATGAGGGAACCCTGTCAATATACCACCTCACAACTTGGAGAGTTTTTAGGTTGTTGCCTAGACAGGGAGAACATTAACAAAATTCATAGCTCTTGCTGAGTTTAGAAGATACAGTTTAGAGTTTGGAGAGGTCAAAAAAATTAAAATTTATGAGCCTACTTTAGAGGAGCAAGTCATAAGGAGTGAGAATTCTGGAGGTCTGTAAAGGAGTCCACTTAAGTTCTCCTCTGATCAGTATATGAGAATGAAGAAACTACTAATGGTATAAAAATAACCAGAAATATTTATAATAATAAAAAAAAAACAACCCAGTACCTAATAGTGTAAAATTTACGTCTGGCACCCAACAAAAATGACCAGATGTGCAAAGATACAGGATAACATCCATAACAAGAAAAAAATCAATATACCCAGAAATAACATAGATGGTAGATTTAGTAGCATGTAACCAAAGCCATTATGAACACTGACAGGCCCCACCAAGAGAGACCCTCACCCAACCGAGAAAGAAAAACCCCAACAGACGCACACTGACTGCAAGAACAGCAATGACCAGAAAGAAGCGACCTACGACCTCACTCATTCACACCTGCAAGGAGACCCACTCTTTAAAAAACCACAAGGCATCTGCTGTACCTTGCTGTACATCACTTTGCCATCACCCTGCTACCCTCACCCCAGCCGGTTCACCGGCCTCAAGCCTATAACCTAAAAGACCCCAAAATTTTTCACCGTCCGAGCTGATACCCCCTTCCCTACTTCAACTCCCCTATATAAACTGTGCGAGCCCTCCTTCCTACGCCAACGGTCTTATCGCCCTTGGCCGACCTGCACCCAGGTCACAATAAACTCCTTGCCTCACTGCTTTAACTTTACCTGCCTCGGTGGTCTCAGACAGTGCTCTGGACAAATCTTACAAAAATATTTTAGTTGTTCAAGAAGGTGAAAAGAAAAATCAGGATTATGAAGACAAAAGGAAAGGTTTTTAAAAAGATCTGAATCAAACTTTTAGGGTTGAAAATTATCTGACATTAAAACTACACTACATGAGATTAACACAGGTTGGATATACAGAAGAAAGAATTAGTGAAATCTAAGACAGTAATAGAGGCTATCTAAAATAAAGGCCAGAATGAAAAAATCATTGCATGAAACACCTATGACCAGAGAGACAAAACAAGCAATATAACAAAGTGTGTAAGTGGAGTTCTGCTAAAAGAAGCAACAGAATTAAACTTTTACAGACTTCCAGAAATTGTTCAAATTTAATAAATTCTATAAATATATCCAAGAGAATGAACAAATCTTAGCAGGAAAAACAAAACCAAGCAACAACAAACCCAGAAATTCCCCTTCCCAGAGCACATGAGATTCAAATTACTGAAAAACCATAATAAAGAGAAAATCTTAAAAGCAGCTAGCACAAAACAAAGCAAAACCACATTATATGGAATAAAGATGAGACCAGCAGTAGACTTCTCATCAGAAACAATGCAAGCCAAGAGACAACGGAACAATATCTTTAAAACACTGAAAACACTGCCAACTTAGAATACACACTCAAGAAAAACACATCAAAAGTGATGAAACAAAGGCTTTTACCAACTCTACAAGAAATAGTAAATGAAATCCTTCAAGTGTGAAGAAAGTTATACCAGATACAGATCGGGTGTACTTAATAGAATGCAGGTTAATGTATTAATTTATCAGTGTATCAATTAATTTATTAATTAATTAATAATTAATAAATTAATCATTGTATTAGTTTTAATTTTTCCTCATTTGAAAAAATTCTTTAAAAGATAATGAATTGTTTGAAGCAAATCTAATAACAGTACAAGGTATTCATGATACTTATAGAAGTAAAATTTATAGCACACAAAGATCAGGAATGGGTAAAACATATTCTTGTAAAATACAACGTATTTGAAGACAGATGATATGCAAAAGATATATACAGAGCAAATAATAAAAATAAATAAAATATATTGCAATACACCAAAGTAAAGAAGGATATAAGAAAAACAGGAATAAAAGAACAAGGAGAATATAGAAAAAACAAAGGTAAATTGAAAATCAATCCTATTAATGGATGTAAATACACTAAACACTCCAATTAAAAGAGAGATAGAGGATAAATTAAAAAAGCAAGACCCAACTACATGCTGTCAACAACAAAGACAGATAAGTTTAAAGAAAAGTATGATACAAAAGTATGATATAAAAATAGGCAATACAAATCAAAGGAAAGCAGGAGTGGCTATAATAAAGTCAAATAAAGTATATTTCAGAGCAGAGAATATGTAATGCAAAGAATATAATTCTAAATGTACAGACCTCCAAAACTAGAGCCTCAGGTATAAGAAACAAACAAAAAATAAATAAAAGGCAAAAGAGACAAATCTACAATACTAGCTAAAGATTACATCTATTTATAGTTCAATAGAGTAGTTAGAAGAAAATCTCTATGGATCTACAAGGCTTGACCACTATTAACCAACTGGATCAGAATGTTTAGAAGACCCCACCCAACCACAGAATACATACTTTCCAGTGCACATGTACCATTAACAAAGATAGAGCATGTGGTATGCTGTATAAAAGCACTCAAAGATACTCAGGTTCTAATCCTTAGAACCTGTGCATGTCATCATACATAGAAAAGTGGCTTCAGGGTCATGCAGGTAAAATTAAAGATCCTTACATGGGGATATGATATCTTGGATTTTCCAGGTGGGCTCTAAATTGTAAGTATCCTTGTAAGAGGAAAGCAGAAGGAAATGTTACTACAGACAGAAGGTGGAAAACAATGCCACAATGGAAGCAGAGAGATTTAAAGTTACTATGTGGCAGATTTTGAAGAAGAAGGGAGGCAGCCATGAGCCAAGGCGTGCAAGGAATGTGGCTCTGTACGATAGAAAAGGGAAGGAAATGGTTTCTCAAGAACCTCTTGAGAAAATACTCTCCTAACAATGCTTTAGATTTAGCTCAGTGCAACCAACTCTGAACTTCTGGATTCTACAATCATAGGGAATAAATAAATGTGTGTTATCTTAAGTCACCACGTTTGTGACACTTTATTATAGTCATCACAATAAAGAAATACAGACCATATTTTGAGCTATAAGATAAGTCAGAATAAATTTTAATGAATTTAAATGATACAAAGTACATTTTCTGGTCACAAAGGAACTAAATTATACATCAGTAATAGAAACACTGCTGGAAAATCCCCAAAAGTTTTGGAAAATAGACAACATAGTTTTAACCTGAGAGTGAAGAGAGTGAAAAAGGAAAATTAGAAAATATTTTCAATTGAATGAAAAAGAAAGTGCAACCTATCAAGGTTTATAGGATGCAGCTAAAGCAGGGCTAGAAGAGACTTTACACTAAATTCTTATTTTAGGAAAGCAGGCTTTCAAATTATTGGCCTCAGCTTGTACTTAAAAAACAAAAAGGAAACAACAACCCAGGAAAAGAAAAGAAAAAATAAAACCTAAAGTAAACATGAGGAAAGAATCCCAGAATGTTCACGCAGCTTTGTTCATAATTCAAATATCTATTGTTGATCAATGGATAAAAAAAAATTGTGCTATACACTTACAAGAGAATATTCCAAAGTAAAAAGAAACAAAGTACTAATAAATGCAACAAATGTGGGTAAGTTTCAAAAGCATTATGCTTAAGCTAGAAACAAAAAAGTACAAACTGTATGATTTTATTGATATGAAACTGCAGAAAATTCAAAACTATAGTGATGTCAGTGCTTGCTAAGAATGGAGGTAACCAAAGGAGACTGACTGCAAAGGGACAAGAAGGAACTTTTTAAGGAGGTGCTCACACAACTATATACATTTGTTAAAAATAACCCAAGTTACATTTAAAATTGGTGGATTTTATTGTATGTAAGTGATGTCAATAAATAAGAAAAGAGATCGAAAGGAGAAAAACAAATTTTTAAATAACACACCAAATCTCTCAAAACAAAATAACTTGATGGATAAATATTAAGAGTCACATAAAAAAAAAAAAGTCACATAGATTAAGGGACATGTGAGTAATGGTAGGAGAATTTTACATTGTAATATAACACCTGTTATTAGTGATAAAACATAATTTCTTCATGGTAAAAAGTAATTGTTAATTTGATAATACTGTATGATTAATCCACTATGCAACATCATATCTGCATATTATTTGTATTCCCAAATTTTAAAAAAATATTTTTTAAATTTAAGAAAAATTAATCAAAAAGCTTTTCTGTGGATCTACAAAGGAAAATAATTCCAGTAATAAGATATATAAAAATTCATTAAGGATGGGATACATTTTCTAAAACCCATTTCCTTTCAAGTTTTTCTTTTATATTTATCAATGGAAAGATAAACTGGTAGATTGAATCTAGAAATTAAAAATTGTTTTAAATTCTCACTTACTTGGATATAGAATATCAGCAATCTCAAAGTCATTCACCCGGCAGATGGGCAGGAATGAATCTCTTGAATACAAATTTTGAAAAATGTATTCTAAATTATACATGAAGCCACAGGAATATAACCATTTCATTTTCAAATAGATTTCTGGGTATATATCTCAGTGTTAAAGGACAAAGTCAGAAGTCTACTATAAAGTATAATCTTATAGCATTAAAATTTATTTTTTCTATGTATTATGTAAGTATTCATGAACTACTAAGGTGCAGTAATAGATTTTAATAAATAACATACTCTTGAAGGAATTAAGACTCGCTAAGAACTCAAAATCCTACATAAAGCTAGTAAACAATTTTAGATTTACACCATCTTAGAACGTCAAAGTTTCCGGTGTCCTAACAACTGCCAGAGTTAGAGGTAATTTTGTTTGGTAGAACCTACAACTTTGAATATATGTGGGATGGAGTAGAGAATGAGACAGCAGTACTCCCTCCCCACAAAAATCATATCATTAAAGAGCCTTAATGTAAATATGAATGTATACTAAGAAAAAAAAAATAACTCTTTACTCACAGATGAATAAATAAATTGCTGACTGGCAAAAAGCCCTCCATTATATGTGGATACATGACTTCAGAGTTAACTGGCATCTAAACATAGTAAGTCACAAAATTAGTTACACAATGATTAGACAAAATGAGACAAATCTTCAGTCATAAAAAATCTGAATCATAGTTAAGCTCAAACTATATTAACTTATTATTAAATTTGAAGAAAACTTAACAGCTCTTGGAACAAAGCCAGAGTTGATATTAATATCAATAATGTTAGGTTTACGACAGGTACTTAATAAAGTTTTTAAATAAATGAAAAACTGAAAAGGTAATTGTGAGCATTTACTAAGTAGCAGGCCCCATGTTAGACATTTTGTATAAATTCTTTTTTTTTTTTTTTGGCACCAGGGATTGAACTTGGGTCCTTGAGCTCGCGAGGCAGGCAGAGGAACCACTGAGCTAAATCCCCAGCCCCATTCTCTCTTTTTTTATAACAACCCTATTAGGAAGTGCTACCCCTATTTTATAAACAAAGAAACTAAACCTTAGCAAGGTTTCATAGTAACTAGGTGGCAAAGCATTTGATTTTTAAACAATATGCAATCATACTAATGAGATTCTAGACATTACATTCTCAGCACACCTTCAGATGATGCCTTGATGATTTCACGACAACAAAAAAAGATTAGGAAAAATGGTCTTCCCTACTAGAAATATCTAATTTGCTAAATGCTCAGTTGCCTCATTTCAATTGTTTCAATATTATTTTGCATATCTTCTATTCTAATCTGAGAGTCCTTCCCAAGAAGAGAACAATACTGTAAAGACTTTTCTGCTGTTTAATATAGTCTCTGAAGACAGACTATAAATCTGTGAACAACTGCATAGCATCAATAATTTGTAAGTGTCATTTAGATCTTTTACTACAGTTTTCACCTTACTAAAGCAATCCATATAAACCATTATTAGGTCTAAGATTCCTTTGCATTTGACATTAATTTCATATAAGTCTTTGAATTTGTTAAAGATCAAGCACTTCTTATCCAAAAAGATAATAGGCATTGTGAGCAGAATTAGAACAAAAATAAAAAACAAAGATTATTTTGCCACATTGTAAACTCACCATGTAAAAATGCTCCAGTCGAATTCCATATACTATTTGTAAGGCTCTCATGTAGATCATGTGTAATACTTCAGGCTACATTACAAAAACAATTTTTAATATTCTCATGCATGATTCTAATGCTACATCATTTATCATTATCCAGTACTGTATAGTCAATGACTGCAAAGAAGAAAAGGGCAACAAAAGTGCTCTATTTCCCTTGAAATATTTCAAAATTTTTTCCAAATTTTAAAACTTCCAATGATACTTACAATTTGTTCATATGTAATAAACGGTAAAGATGAGTTGCTTAACAAGTTGCAAGCAAGTATATCCAAATCAAATCCAAGCAGCCCCAACCACATTAGCCCACAGAGCTAGTCTTTTAGAATAGGCTGTCATGCATGTGGCAGAAATTTTGGAACACCAAGGATGTATTTTTAAACACTGCAAGAAACTGGTTTACTGCCTTAGATATTAAGGTTTTCTTAGATTTAAACTTTAAGAGAACATTTGGAATAAGGGGTATAGGTATAAAGGGGCAATAAGGATTTTTTTTATTTTTGTGTTTTCTCTCTCTTTTTTTGGTACCGGGGATCAAACTTGGGTCTCTGTGCTTGCGCAGCAGATGGCCGTAAGGATTTTTTAAATCTTCTAAATCAGTAGTTCATAAATGCTGGTCTGTGAACATATTCTAATCTATATACAAGTTTACTGAATGAGCAATAAATGACATATAAAAAATATGGCAGTCTTTTCATAAAATAAAATTTAAAGACCTTGCATTTACTTTTGAGATTTTTCCTCCTATCTTGAAGAGTTAAAAAGTTCTAAGATCAAAAAGTTTTAGTTCTACATCATTAAATCAGGTTTTCCTATGTTATCATTTCAAGATCAACACAGGAAACTGGAAGGAAACCTGGAGATTTTCTGTGACACATAAATACCTCATTTTTGCATTTAATAACTAAACATATAAAGAACAATGCCTGTCAAAGCAAGTCAATTCCCTCTTGAGGCATAACACAAGAAAATTAATCTCTAAACCCCCAAAGAGGCTTGTTTCTGAGCATTTTTTGTGGTTGGAAACCATGTGGAATAAGTTCCATCAAGTCCTACCAATAAATGATACTCTCATACCACCACTCCAACAATAATAAAAAATTTAATATAGCTATAGTTTAAAAGCTTTAAAAAAAAGAAAGCAACCATGTTAAAGAACTGAATTCCTAATGGGAATGTTAAAATTGCCCAACATATAAACCAAATGTTATTTTAAAATTACACTAAGCGAGATTTTTCTTTAGATTAAAAATGACTGGCCTGTATCAAATAACATGATAGATGCCTTTCTTGCCACACCACAAACCTAATAGCTTACTTTGTTCTCACATACCAGATCCATATGCACATACAACCAAATTTTACCTTTGGATTTGGGTAAAGATCATTCTTGGAGAGGTTTTTACCATCAGCTCCTGTTAAAAATTTATTACGAATATGAACCACAATTTCAGCGACATTATATCTGGGAAAAGACAAAGTTTCCATCTTGCAAGTCTCCTAGTCTGAAGAAAGAAAAAACAAAGATCAGACATACAGCCAGTACTTCTCATTAACTAGAAACTGATAAACATAAAAACAAACCTTGAACAAGTCAAGGTTAACTATTCATAGAGGTACCAGCTATAATCAAACATCTTAGTATGATACAGATTTCATATACATATATATATATATTCCCTAGTATAACTTATTTCAAAGTAATACATTCATTTTATGCTAATTTTCCTAATGCTGTTTGTTCTCTTCCATAAAGGAAGGATTTTGGTTGATAGACAGTTGGGAAATCATGTATTTCTCTTTATACATTTGGGGATCAGAAGATTTAAACAGATCAAAGATCAATCCTCAAAGCAAAGCATAAGCCAACATCATCAGCAAAAGCTATATATGAACAACAGTAATACAGGAGAGATAATGAAATTGTATTCTGATTTGACATCTTATTTAATATACCCATAGTGGGATGGATAATATGCTTTAAGATGCAAAAGAGAGAGAAAAGAAGAAAGAACAGAGGCTATAATTGGCAGGGATTTCTATCACTAGAGATAAGAACTTTTAAATTACAAACAACAAGTTCCCTCATGTATTCAGATAGTGACTTATTCCTATGTATGCCCCCTTAAGTAGTGGTTCTCACAATTCCATGTCCCTTTCCTCCAGGGCACATCTGGCAATGCTTGGATACATTTTTACTTGCAACAACAGGAGTGGAGATGCTGTTAGAATATAGTGGGTACAGGCCAGTGATGCTCTTAAATATCATATGATGCACTGGGTGGCCCCTCACAGCAAAGCATTATCTAGTTCAAAATGTTAAGAAGGTTGAGGATAGGAAACTGTCCTAGGGCATTTATCTATGGTGTAATACTTATGGCAATGTATTGGGATTACAGTTATAGAATTCTGATGGCACATTGTGAAATTCCACTCAGTTATGCCCCTTTCATCATCTCTACAACTGTCTAACAGCAATAGCAACACTAAGAGCAAGAGGAGCAGTAATTGGAGCCAATGCCTCAATCACTCACGTAAATATTATTTAATTATCCACGGACTCCCCTACTCTCCAGTAAAGCAGCGTAACCCCAAAGACTCTCAACATGAATATATTCAATTCTGCAAACAAACTAAACTGGTCTGCAATTCTGGAAATCCATTTCTTTAGGCTTCTAATGTTTCCTAGAATATGAAGGTTAAAAAGAAGCCTTGGCAATGTGCCTAGCCTCTGAAAAATGTAGGAGGCCTTCCTCCAAGATGATTGTCAAGTAATATCTTAGATCTGCTTGAAAACATCACAGGATTCACTAACTCAAGTCAACTTTTTCCCACTTCAGCACTGCTCTAATAATTAGATGAACCTTCCTCATACTGTACAGAGCTGTATGTTGTAACTTTCATCTGCTGGTCCGATTTCTGGTCATTGCAGCTACATAGAATATATTGGATCTGTTTACATGGTACTACTTTCAAAAATGTCATGAAAGCTACATCTCTGCTAAGCTTTCTCTTCTTCAAGTTTAAGTTTAATTTCCTTACATATAGCCATTCTTGTATGACATTGTTTTGGAAACTACCCTTTGTGTGAGGAAACAAATCACCTTTTTCTTACTCTGCTCACTCAACAGTCAACATAGAAGACTTCTGACCAAATTGGGAGAGGGGTCCCCCACCCACCAAGGGAGCAGACAATAATGCAGCCCAGCCCAGTGTACTCTAATTCTGACACTAATTACCTAGAGACAGTATTAGAAGTTACCAAATACTACAGGCAGAGGGGTATAGTCCTCAAGACTGCCCCCGCACCCAGCCCCACTTGATATGCCAATTGGAAGCCCTAGATTATTTCCCTGTTTCTGACCAACATGCTATTTACTGGAGTTCCCATCATCCCTTCCTTGAAGTTGATTTATTTGCTAGGGCAGCTCATGGAACTCAAGGGAACACATTTACTGCTTTTGTTCCCGACATTTACTGTTTATTATAAAAGATATTACAAGAAATGAACACCGGATGAAGATGGATACAGAAAGGTATGGGGGATGGGCCATGCAACCCCCAGGGATCTCCAAGCATTTGGCTCCTCAGATCTGGTCAATTTGAGCTTTTATGGAAGCTTCATTAAATGGGCATGACTGGTTGTATCACTGGGCATGGGTGATCACTCAATGTTTGGCCTCTCCCTTCCTGGAGATTGGCATGTGGGCCTGAAAGTACTAACACCCTAAACTTGCCAGGATCTTTTAGATCACCAGCCTGAATTCTGGTAGCTAGAGGCTGCCAGTTGTCAGTCAACCATTAGCATACAAAAAGACACTTAGCATTCTGAAGGTTTTAAGGATTTTAGTTGTGAATCAATTACTCAGGACAAAGATCAAATATATATTTCACAATATCACATCATCTGGCTTACCTTCCTATAAAATATTATTTTGTTGATGTCTTCTTAAAACATAACATCAAAACTAAATACAATACTCCATCTAGTGGGCCTAGGGCAGAGTATTAATATAGCAAGGAATGGCTTCTCCAGACCTAAACTACAACTGTAGCACTTACTAATATATGCTTATGATCAACTGAAACTCTAAGAACTTTTTCAACATGATTCACTTATATCAGCCAGGATTTCCCCATGTTCTTAACTTACTATTATGCATACCTTAAATTTTATAACTGCAAACCCTTATTTTAGAGCCAAGATCATTTTGAATCTAGATTTGGATACTTCACGTTATTGGGCGTCCCTTTGCCCAGCATAAATGTGTAAGAAAGTAAAATATCCCACCCCAAATATATTTCTTTGGTATATTTCCAGTTGGTTTTGGGGAGAAATTGCATACTTCTATAGGCACAAAAATGGCACTCAAAAGCTGTCATTTTGTAAAAAGAAATTTAAACTTATCTAAATTTGTAAACAGCAAAAGCAAGAAGAAACTTTTATACTACACACTGTCATTTCTGCATAGGAAACATTTTCGCCCAGGAAGAGACTGGGTTTGCTCTGGGCCAGACAGACTACCACAGGTGGCTGTCACCTGGAAGACTTTCAGTGTAACAAGATAACTGCTCACTCTGCACCTCTTCCTCTCAAACTTCCAAACTCTGTGGTCACCTCCCTTCCCTCCAGAAGCCCAAATCCCCTTTCTGTTTATCCCTTTTATTCTCATACTGTCTGTGTGTACATGATTCCTGTGCTTAGGGACATAATAAATTCTAGGGTTTTCCTCCTTTCACTTATTTCACAGACTAATATCATCAAACCTTCAAGAAGGAAAAGAATAAACACAACACTTCCCTACATATGCACTGTATATTTTCATCTAAGTCAGGTTTAAAAACTATTGGTAAAAGGAAAAACCCCCAAAACAATTTACTTCTCCAAAATAAACATCTGGACTAAAGATTATAGTATCACAAAAGACAGTAGATGTAATACATCTTCATAATTTTCATCACATCTCTCCACAATGTTTTGTTCACTTGGTTGTTTGGTTAATGCTTCTAAAACATGTAATGCATCATGTAACATTTGTATGAAAATACTTGAATTACCTTACCCACCACATCAAACTTAAATTTATGTGCTTAGTTTCTAAAGTCTTTAATAATCTAATGAACTATCTGCTCTAGGTTGTTTCATTTTGGAATCGCTTCCCGTATCCAAATTCTGTCATTCTTTCATCGTACAACTAGTTTCAATTTATTCTTGTGTGTGTGCGCTTGTGCGTTCTCTCGCGCACAGGAATAATTTGAGCTTTTAAGTGGGATAAAATACATATATACACAGACTCAGTACGTACATGTAAAACGACCATTTGGCATCCTAGCCAGTAGCACACACTGTCTGCTAATTACCTCTCGGTGACTCATTTATTTGCAATACTACGTGTTAAGCAGAGCAGATATTAGAAGAATTATCTGTTAAACCTCACACGCTTCGTTTTGCTAAACATTCGCAGCAATCACAACTCCAGGAGGAAAAGATTAAACAAAATAAACAACTCCCAATATCGCAACATGCTAAATAAGACGTCCCTTGAACTCCTACAAAGGGGGGAAAATAAAAATAGCACCCTAGGACGCTCAACTTTTGGATTATGGTATTTTTCACTTTGGGTTCATAGTTTTGGATATGGCTAAGGAATGTCTGAGTAATAACGATCCATAGAAAGTTCACAAGCAAATGCAACCAATCAAGCTCTATTAAGATCACCCTTCCAGATATACATAAATATAAGTTTAAATTAACCTGCTTCTGGTCGAATCTCTTTCCAGTCTATACTGCACAGACAACACCCATTAGTGTCTTAGGAACTGACCTCAGGTCTTTCGGGAACTAAAAATCAATTAACAGGAGCTAGGGGCTGGCCCTCCAACTTTCCAGGAGCCAGTTTCTCCAGCCTCCTCCCTAGAGCCGTGCACTACGGAAACACTTGGAGCAGCGTTCAGATGCGAGGAGCTGTAGGGCACCTCAGTCTCCCTCCTCTGTCCTCCCGGAAGTGCTCGCTCTCACCTACTGCATTAGCAGCCCAACAGAAGAAGAGGCGTTCGCAGGGCGGCCACACGCAGTCAAAAATCAGCAAACGCCAACCGTTGTCCCTTTTCAAACCTGCCGCCTCTCACTAGAAGTCCCGCCCCTTTCTTCCCAGCCCCCTTCCACCCGGGACGGTTGCCGGTAGGGCTCAAAAGACTCAAGGAGTGTAGGGTGTAAGTGTGAGAAAGAAGGTTGGGCTCCGGGTAGGCGGAACCATTGTTTGTTCACAGCTGGTTTCTAGCCGGAACCAGAATTCCGCAGGAAGCGGCAGCGCCGCAGCTAAGGGGAGGAGTCTGAGGTGGCCTTCAGTCAGTGAGTTTTCCAGAACTCTGCTACGAGGTCCGGGGCCCGCGTGGAGAGCAAAAGGGAGCAGACGAGTTAGGAGACTTTGGCTAAGCTCAGGGTGACAGAGGAGAAGGGACGGGAGGGATATCAGCGAATCAAGGGTAAGTCAGTGTCCCAGAGAAATAACATCAGTGTTTGTTAAGCAGCGAGCGGGGAGCTGGTAGATGCTCTTATAGACATTATCTCATTTAACCTTTATTAAAACGCTGAGGTCGGGGAGCGGATAGAGGGCTGTAAATCGCAGAGAGATAAGTAACTGATCGTAAGCCACGCACAGTAATCAGCCGTCTCGCCAGGAGAAGGACTCGATCCTCTGGGTCTGCGTTGGTGAGCGAGAGGTGCAGTGAGTCTGTTTCTGTGCTCAAGTCCTCGCTTTCCCGAACAGGAAAACTGCCCGCCACCGAATTGTTCCCCCAACCCGCACAGGTCTGGATGAGTTAGAGTCTTCGGCTAAGAGGCCTAAATTTCTGTTTTTTTGTTTGTTTGTTTGTTTGTTTAACGTGGATTTTCAAGGCAAAAGTGGAAACACCGCATTTAATACAAGTCAGTATCTTGCAGAAGACGTGCTGGGTGTGGTTGTCCGAGGAGAAAGCTTTAAATACGTTTTCTTAGGTTTGGGCCCCAGAGAATTTACTGGTTGTGGATGGAGTCTGAACTGAATGACGTGAAAAATACTGCGAGAAAAGTTGTTTTGAAAACAAACAAGTACTCCGATGCTCTGTTAATGTGGGTTGAAGACTTACACCTACTGATACAGAAATCTGTACTAGTTCTAAATAAAAGTACATTTCATATTCAGTAGTTTCTCCTTCTGTGTTCATTTCCTGCTACAAGTCCCAGAGGCAGAATCTAATAAAACTCAAAAGCAGGTTAGAAAAATAAGTTTATAAAAATGAAACCCAGTTAGGTGAGGAGAAAACAAGAAGATCTTTCTGGGGCCAGGGATTTGGCTCAGTGGTTCTGCCACCTGCCTCACAAGCGCAAGGTCCCGAGTTCTATCCCCGCTACCAAAAAAAAAGATCTTTCTCATTGGCACTTGCCAAATCAAACTGATTATCCCTTAGAGGCAGGGAAGCGGAGCATAGTATAGTGCTTGTGAGCACACTCCAGAGTCAGTCTCTGACCACCCCACTCCCTAAGTGGATTCAGGCAAGTTGTTTAAAGTAACTGAGCTGGTTTCCACATGTTTAAAATTGTAATAACAGACCTATTTGCTTTATAGAGTTTCATGAAGATTAAATTAATTTTTAAGTGCCTAACAGAGTTTTGACTACTCAGTAAGTATTAGATGTTATTTCAACTATTATTTGTACATGGACCCTAGTAAAACTCTTACAAATGGTTAAGTGCGCAACAAATGCCTGAACTGTTGTTTAGAGTCTAGACAAGAAATGAGAGACCTACATGAAAGCCAAGATTAGAATATTTCATATGGAAAGCAAAATGAGGTTAAAAAAAAAGCAGGACAAGAGAGGTACATTTTATTTTATGTACTATAAAGATTTGGGGGGATAACAGTACTAGAACTGATGAGTTTAGAATTCTACTGGGATTTAAATTATTTAAGAAAAACTAGTGTTTATTCAAATTATCTTAGTTAAAAGGATAAATCTGGCTTTTTCAAAATCCGGTGTGAAGTGAAAGATGGAACAGTAGAATTCTTATGCTACACTTTCTAGAGCTGTGTCATCACCATAAAGACACTGACTACTGCAGAAAATTAAATTCCAGTACAAAGATACTCCTCGGAAGACAATGGGATTACATCTTGTTAAACTACTGTAGTTCAAAATATTTTAAGTCATAAATGTATGTAATACACTTAACCCACCAAACATGATAGCTTAGCAACATAGTACATTGTAGATTATCATTTCACTTCTTAATAGTGTGGCTGACAGGGAGCTTCATCTTGCTCTCCCTGCCCAGTGTGGAGAGAGCATACTCTATGGCATATTGGTGGTATGGGAAAAAATCAAAATTTGAAGTATGGTTTCTATTGAATGCATATTGTTTTTGTACCATTGTAATGTTAAAAAATCATAAGCAGAACCATCATCTATTAGAGACTGTCAATATTCTTCTTGACTGTAGCGTATTTTTCTGCTCCTGTGTACCCTCACATACACTATACTACTCTTCTGTTTTATTTTCCTTGTCAGCCTTCCTCATTTTACCTCCTTTCCCAGCATAGACTGCATGGTTTATTGGCATCCATACTCCCTGTGCCTGATGCTGCTGACCCAGCCTGTTAAATCTTAACCCTGAATCTGCCCTTTAAATCCTCAGATGAAACCCAGGAAATAATAACATGACATAACATACAACAGATTCTCAGAATTCAAACTCTGCTCTCCTTGATTCTTAACAATTCCTTAATTTACCGTTAGTCAGTTCCTTATCCTATAACTTTCAGTGATTTCTCACAAGTTTTTTTGGCGGGGGGGGGGGGGACTGGGGATCAAACTCAGGTCCATGCGCTTGCGCAGCAGGTGGCGAAACCACTGAGCTAAATCCCCAGCCTCTCACAAGTTTTACCACCTATCTCAATCCCCTTTCCAACTTCAGCACCTCTCTACTTGAAGGTGACCAAAGTAGTCTAAAAGGTATTTTTTTAAGCACTTAACACATATTCCTTCTATTCCAGTGACTGTTCCTTCTAATTTTAATTGCATGTTCCTCTTCTAGATTGCACTTTAAAGGCTGATGACAGACCTCTAAAGACTGAATGGATCTTTGAGTGACAAGACAACATTCAGTGAGACCATGGAGGGCTACAGATGGGACTTTAATGCAGGTGACATCCCTGTGCTAACTCGTGCTTTAAAAAAATCTCTTTCTTAAAGGCCAGCAGTTCCAACTTTTTTTTTTTTGGTAGTGGGGATCGAACTTGGGACCTTGAGCTTGTGAGGCAGGCAGCAGAACCCCTGAGCTAAAGCCCAGGCCCAGAGGTTCCAACTTTTATTTCTGCTTTGTTTTAGTATATCAGTAAAGACAAAAAGTTGATTCATTTGATTTAACATAGTAGGAATAGGGGAAGTACTGTAACTGGGCTCTTTCTACTTGGCATCAGTCCCTCACTTATTTGCATATAGATTTTCTAGGGACCATACACACATTGTCAGTACCTTCTTCCCAGTTATTTGAGAAAATTAAAGCCTCATTCAACATATACCTTAATTTCTTGCCACCACACTTTCCCCAGTGCCACATTTATCTGTTTTTCTCTTTTCTATCTGAGACGATAAAATGTACCTCTTCCACCAATGCTGTAGTTCACAGCTTCTCTTTCTAGACCTTTTTGCCGTATTTGATACAACTAATCAGACCCTCCTTTTGCATTGCTCCCATTTTTTTCTACTTGTCTTATGCATCTTAGTGGATTCTTTCTCTGCCTGCCTTTTAAACAGTATTTCTCAAAGTTTCAACCTTGAGTGTTTCTGTCTGTATTTTCCCCTTGTGTAGCATCTGCTTTCCTTGTTTTAACCTAATGTGTCTACTTATGGATCCTAACACTACTGCTATGTCTGACTTCTCCCTTGAGCTTCAGACTTTTATTTTCTTTACTTCAAACTCTGTAATTCATCTTTTCCTTTCATTCCCACTACCAATTCTATGTCACTGCAGCTAGCCTTTCCTCCCCCACATACACAACCAAGTCTGTCTTGTAAGTAGCAGCCAGAATTAAGGTAGGTAGGATAGAAAAATAAATACAGGTAAAAAGGAGACAAGGAAAATCATAATCTTAAAATAATACTTTTAAGGAAAACTGTAGTCTCAGGGCACAAAAGTTATCCAAAGTTACAGTGCCTTTCCTTCCAGGAAACTTACTTCAAAAAAATTCCTGAGGGTCTAGAAGATGCATGCAGTAAGTCTGTAAATTGGGGCTAGACCCAGAATTTTTACCTTTAAATTGCTTTTCTTCACATATACTTCCAACCTCAAGGAAGCAGCACTATTGAGTAGCAGATCTCTAAACTTCAAACACATGCAAATAGTTTGCATTTTAACATAGCGCACGAAATGGGTGGCCTGACAGACAGTGTGACACATCCTATGTTGTAAATTTTTTTTTTTTTTTTTTGATACCGGGGATCAAACTCGAGACTTTGTGCTTGCGATGCAGGCAGTGGCATCACTGAGCTAAATCCCCAGCCCCTTACATTGTACATCTTTAAGCTAACCCTAAGACCACAGGAAATCCCCCAACCCCAGACCGTAATTAATGCATCTCTTTCTTAAAGACTGTATTCTTGCTGTATATACTTTTTAAATTCTACTTAATAAACCTTTCCTAGTGCCTCTTAATGATGTGAAAATTCTATTTCTGCAGCTGGAGTCAGTGGGGAGGGGGTGAGTTGAGGTGCCCACAGCCTCTTTGGAGGACCTCCTTGGACCCCTAACAAAATGTCTAGACTCAAGTGTAAATCTTACCATTTCACTTTTCTACGTAAATTTCTATACCCTCTAATCACGTTCAAAATTATGTTTGAATCCATAGCCTGGTATGCTGCTAGATCCTCCATGATCTTGCCACTGATACTTTTCCATTCTTCTCATCCTACTCACTGCCCATTCATTGGGCTGTTTTAAAATGATCTTTGAGACATGTTCATGTTGACTCTGTCTGGACTGTTATTTTCTTTCCTTGATTCTTCTTTACTCTTGGTTTTCAGAAGTCTTCGAAAAGGCCTTTCCTTCTGTCACAATCTTAGTTGATTTCTTTTCCTTGCTTCTCAACCCTCATTTGTTCATTCAAAAAATAGTCATTGA